GGACGGAGGGGGCGGTGTATCAGTGCTTTTCAGGGACATGACTGCTCCCACCTGCGGACACAACACGCCACAACTCAGTGCCACTGCGGCAACTTCTCATGGAGTCTAACGGGTCTGCAGACTTAGTCGACTAATTTACTAAGCAATTTGCTGCATTTGCTTCATAATGAATATTGGAAATGACGTAAACACAGGGTTTGCAGCTGAACTAACCTGTTTAATTTACGTTGTTTCAGGTTTGCATTGTGGTCAAAGAGACCTGAGGCAATTCTAGGTTACCAAGCAGCGCAGGTAGGCCAAAGTGGCTCCAATTCGGACTTCAGAAAGTGAGTGTTCCAGGTACTCGAGAAATGGACCATGAAACAAGTGATACGGTCAGGGCAACAGGAGGGCGGGGAAGAGGAAGTGTGATGTAAGCGAGTTACGAAGCTATTTGCCTCTGATGCTGGATACAGCTGAGAGTCAAGAACAGTATAGTCCCATGCCTGCAAGATAAGCTATTCCAATAACTGATAGCCCAATCCAACTGGAAAATTTGAGATGCTGGCTCTTCACATTAAACTAAACAGGTTTCCTTCGTAAACTGGATGAAATCTTTGACCCATAATCGACACATACGATCCCTTTTCTACACAATTCTTAATTGTTCAATTTAAAACTAACTCTGTGGTGGTAACACTCAAATGTTCAACACCGCTAATAACAAACCCCGCCGATGGACACGATCCCGAACCAGTTCCATCTACTTCTTTTGTCTCTTCCATAAGATATTAAAAATTTCGGTTCTTTCTTCGTCTTATAACTAGTTATTTTCAGCAGGTTTCCCAATTAAAACTCTGGAAGCATTATTTGTCTTTTCTGTGTTAACTGCACGCCCAGCCAGCAGAAGTCTAATATATTTAACTATTGTAAAAATAAGCTTGTTAATTAACCTGTACAAATCACGAAGCTTCCCGCTCGCTTGTTTCTACTTCATTGTAAGTTCCAATCTCTCATCTACGCCCGATCTCCGAAGTACACGCATACGGAAGATACTTTAAAGTCCAATGTGGTAGAACGTTCCTTTAACGACGATCGTCTAACAGAATTTGATAAAAAGATCACCCACAAAGAAGAAAGCACAATCAGCAAAAATCTGGAAAAGTGTGGGTTCATCATAACAAGAGATAGGCAATCAGTCAACCCCGCTCCATGTCCACAGCAAACAAACTGACAGGACAAAGACAGTAGAGTGAAAAGAGAAACCACTCCGACAGCCCGATGGACCAGCATTCAGCGTAGTTGACGGGTGATTCTGTCCACATCATTCAACGAAAACATAAATCAACAGTAATTTACTAACTCCTCGGAAGAAGATCTGAAAGTTCAACATCGCTAATGACAAACTCCACCTCGGATACGATCCAGGGTCACTTTGATCTGCTTCCTTCCGAACAATATTTTTTCCAAATATTATTTTTAATATTATCTTTCTACTTTCGTCTTGCTCCTTTGAGGGATATATACCTATAGGCCGTTTCCAATCAAGTTCTGCAGACCCATGCATCTCACATCCTCCATACGAGCTACACATCCAACCCATCGTACGCTACATTAGTTCACTGATTCAACAGTGCTAGGTGTCATGAACACATCATGAAGTTTCAGTCTGAGTTTCACAATTAAGTCATCCGTCCTAGGTCCAACACTTCAACGAGCATAATGTATAAATAAATCAGAAATAAGTAATAAAACAGACTACGATACCCAGGCAGGCCCATGGACACACCTCTAATAATACATAAAGTTCTACAGCTTCTCCCCAATACGCCTGGTTATTAATACATCAGGGACAACTTCACAATTCCCACCGCCTATTCCAAAATAATCTGCGAAGGTGGAATCTTTAAAGTTTGAAGCGACATATATTATGACGTCAGCCTGTATTTTAACACAACAGTTTCTGGAGGAACACGAGTATAAAGTGATATTAAAATCTGGAATTAAAATGCAGAAAATATTTCAGGAGAGACGGTATTCGAACCTGATATCTCTTAAAAACAAGACCGTGTTGATGCCCAGGCACTGGAGAATCTCCATCGAGGTTTCTCTGGAGGGGTTGATGTATAAAAAGGTGATCAGAGCGTGAAACTAATAACTCACATCCACCTAGCGCCCTGCGGTAAAGAACGAGTGTGCTCTATTTCCACGTAATGTTTAAGTAATGTTACAAGTATGATAACGAGTTGAAATTATCAGACTTAATTTCATAGACCACTACGTTAATAATTAAAAAAGATTCCTGAGGATCACAAAACTTAATGGATATATTTTATGACATAAACGAGCATTACCATTTAAGTTTCACGGAAATCATAATAAAAATCTTAATCCAATCAACACCCCCTCATGCAGACGTCTATTAAATAGAGACGTTCTATTCGATTTCAGCAGATATTATGTGGATGTAATGATGTCTCGTGATTTAGTGAAAAGGTATTCACCCTAACGCCAATTTATGTGGCACGAGAACGTAGTGCCAAGTCCCACTGATATACGCCTCTCCTCTTACATTACAGTAGCCTCCTGCTTTCGAGTCTGCAAAGTTATTAAAGACCTTGATTCCATTACGACCCTATTGGCTATAATCAAGTTATTGAACTTTAGTCATGGCGATGGAACGTGTATTCTCACAATTTGGTCCGCACATTTGTTGTGGTACACAAATGTCTTGAAAGGTGAGGCCTCTTATAAAATAGTTTCCTACGCCATAGTCAAATTGGTTTATCGTTTAGTTTTATGCTATGCATTTAACCTGCGGCTACAAGTTATATGATTTTGGAACATATTAAAATGAATTCGGTTATAGTTTGATGCTAATTTTAATTTAGGATGCTCCTCTTTTCCGTACACATGCTGAGTAAAGGCAATGCAAGCAACAAATTGGTCTTACGCCCTTTTGAGGAGAGAAAATTCGTGTTACGGTGATTTCCGAAGTCTCGAGAGCAGGAACAATTCGCACGAGTGAGATCGACACGAAGTTAGGTTAGGTTTAAGAATATTTTTACACAAAAATACAATACTTAAGTAAGGTCAATATTATTTTCTACGTTCAGTTCAGTGTTGGGCTACGCTTTGTTTCAGTGTCTCCGCATTTGCTGTTGTCCCCACTTCTGCAGCTCCTTTTAGACATTTTAGCCGACTTTATCATCCGGCTACCAAGGAAAATGCAAAAAGTACCGAAATGAAGTGGAAGAATTCTATTTGGGGTTAGCAGGAAATCCGTTTTCCCCTCGTATAAAGGCTAAATCTAATTCAACCGGTTCACTAACCAGGGACATCACGCTGCAATCCGGTACACGCAACTGACCACTCATTTCATAAAACAATGGTAACCATGGTAACTGAGGGTGGTGTTCCTTTAGCAAGATATTCAGTGGTTTCAGCTTATTTCTTTTATGACTGCAGGCATCCAGGTTTGCAGATCAAAGATGCACATAAATCATGTCCCATTCAAATCTAGCGTGGACTATTTCTGGTGGTTCCCCGTACTCTCAATCCAAGAAATTTAGGGAGAACGGCCTAACTTTCTTCATAGACAACACTTTACGTTTCCATAATCAATAAACATTGGTGAGATTTCTCAATGCGACGAGTAAGAAGACGGCCTTAATGGGATGTTGCGCCGTGTAATCTGATATAAAATAGGGGCCTTGGTGATGGAGACAGTAAGCACCTCCGAAACGTCGGTCAATCTGTACCAGATTACACGGTGCTACTTCCCAGTAAGCAGTTATCTCTATTTAAACCATAACTAACGAGTTTTGAAAAACGTTCCCAAGGTCTCTAAATTATATATCGGGGTTTGATACAATGAGCATAATGGCAAACCTCAGGCTTATTTCGCGAATGCCCCGTCACTAATTTTAAATTTATTTTCGGTACGAGGTATATTCAGTGAAAAGGTAAAGTAACTGATGATCTTCAACTAATATTTTTTTGGATGAACAAATCAAGGAATATAAAGACGGAACAAGTAGCTTGCACTGGAAATATAATAAATGCATACAAAACTGCAATTGGACACTCTGAGGAGAAAAAACTACTTGGCAGGTTTAGGAATATACGAAATAACACAATTAAAATTAATCTCATAAGAATTAAAATAGGAGGCTGTGGACTGGATTCATCTGGCTGAGAAACTTGTGATCAACTGCAGGTATAAACAATAAAGTTGTTTACGTGTACAATAGGCCTATATTAGTAATTATGAACGTTCAATGAAAGGAGAAAGGGCATTATCTGAGAAAACGCGCGCTAATACACAGCTTTAAACACACACAAAAAATCAGAATGAACAGATAGGTTAAATGTTTTTAGCTTCACTTAATTAAACCAGCTTCATTAAATGACTTACGAATCAATAAAACTCACGTCAATAAACCACTTTGGCTCTGGTCGTAAAATGCAAGGTCTACTTAACAACAGGGACTATATAATAAAGTATATCAGAAGAACAAATTAATATTCCTCGGGCTTCCAAGTTCATTGTACGCCATCTGTTGCCTTTCAATCTCTCCAGATTTTTAGTAGCCAGAAATCTGACATTTATAATAGACAAGCAGGCATATATAAAGGCACAACTGTGCTTCAACAGTGTGGAAGGTCTACACGCATTCAGAATGGTATTGCTTATTATATTATGATGCTATGTCAGAAATTCCGAGAGCTTCAGTGAATACGCAGCAAACTCAGTTATTCCAAATATCTAGACTCCATGTTGAA